CATGGACCGCGAGATCGTGACCTGGCTGAAGTCGGACACTTAACCGACTGCGCCACCCAGGCGCCCGACATTGGCCATTTGTGACAACGTGCATGGACCTTGAAGGTATTATGCAAAGTAAAATAAGTCAGAGAAAGACAAATACCATATTATTTCACTTATATGTAGAATCGAAAATAAAACAAATGAATAAACAAAAAATACTCATAGACAGGGAGAATAGATTAGTGATTATCAGAGGTCAAAGGAATTATGGAGTAGGAGAAAAGAGTGAAGGGGGTCAATTGTATGGTGATGGATGGTAACTAGACTTATTGTGATGATCACCTTGTAAGGTACACAAATATCAAATTACTATGTTGTATACCTGAAAGTAATATAATGTTACATATAAATTTTATCTCAGTTAAAAAATATATTTGCTGTACATTCCAGGTACCCCACACTAGGTGGACTAGCATAAATATGGGGCTAGCCTTCAAACCTACCAAATGTTAAAAGTTATGAATCTTGCCCAAACAGCCTGCAAAAGAGGGTGTGAGTCAATTGTAGAGATTAGAGCTGACAGAGACTCTTGTAATTTCTGCTCCCCTAAATCACCTGTTTTTTATTCCCCTGGAGAGCTTATCTGTAATCAGTGCTAATGGGGGATGGGGTCACTGAGGACTTCCAGTATCTAGGTCCCCAAGGGTTGTCAAAGACAAATGGAAAGGCTATTAACATAAGAAGAGAACACTCCAGCTCTCAGATCTGTGAAAGCCTGTCCCTAAGTCATGGTAGCCCACTCCCTAAGTTCATGTAGCTAGCTAACCATGATAGCTAGTCACATGGGAGCTCATTTCTACCAGTCCGGTGTCTCTCAAGATGAAAAGTGTGTACAACAATAAGCGCTTGTTCTCTAAAATTCTCAGTTATCTGGAAGCAAGAAAATAGAAAAATTAAGGATTTTTTTCTCCTAGCAAAAGTTCCTGTCCTCAAAGCCTCACTATTCTTAGGAAGACTTTCATTAGAAAGGACTTTTGTACATTATAGCCTATAATTAGATAAGGGGGTAGAGTTGGCTTTTGTTCATAGCATTCATCTCATGAGCTTGTCTCTAAATGGAATTGTGACAAACTTCCACCATAAAACATTTCAGTGTCAGAAAAAAAAAAAAAATCAGACCTAAGCCAGAGGAAAGTGAATGAAGTATAGGGAGGATGATTAAAACCATGTCAAAGGGAGGGGAGACATAGTCAAAGGAAGTCAGGATATTTAGTCTAGAAAGGAACAAGAAAAGCAAATTTAGGGGTACCGTGATCACATTCTTTCAACTTCTGATCTCAAATTTCAATCTCAAAGGATTAAGAAGCAAATTTTTTTGGGTGAGTCCAAAGGGCAGTGCTAAAACCAATGTTTATTGTGTGCTAGGGTGGAGCAACTAGAGTTGAGGAACGTACTCTGGTTTTTGCTCAAAGGAGAAAATTCACAATTTCTTGTGAATCTATTTGAAGTCAAACTAGAAAATACAATTTGTTATGAACAACATATTCAATATAAAGACAGTGCTCACTTGCTGACTGGCTTCTATTTACTCTTTCAGATCAAAACAAGCAGAAATGACATAAGAACTGGTTGATAAGTTCCCCACTAGTGGGAGTACCACTGAGGGCTAAGGTCATGTATGTTAATGTAAAGACAGGAGCTTTCAAGCACTTCCAATATCACAGTAAATTTGCAAAAGGAAAGAATTCTGTTCATGTTTGGTTTCAAAGGATAACATTGGAAGGAAATTGGATACCCAAAGCAAATAAAGAAAGCACCAAGGAGCATCTGAAAAGAATTGTTAAATAAAGTGGGAGTGGGGAGGCCTTCTTATCTCTTCATTAATTCATGTCTCACATTTGTCTCTACCAGGAAGACTATGAAAAGGAGCTAGATTATGAATTGTAGCCCTTATCAGTTCTAGTCTAATTCACTCATCTTTTCATTAAGTTAAATGAAAGAAGAGCAAACTTCTAACCATTCTTTCACACAGAGAATCTGGAGTAGTGAGTGAACACTCCCTTCTATGTCTGGGACCCAGGACCTTAGACTTCTGGGCAACTTTTGTCTATTCTCTTTGTCTTTTTCCCATTTAATCCTTTCTTGCTTTTTCTTTCAATCTTCTTCTAATTATCTCTCTCTCTTCTTTCTTTCCTCCCCCCTTCTTTACACTTCCTCCCCTTTATTTTGTACCACTTCCCTTAATTCTCTTATCCTCCAGATTCTTTCCAAATGGGACAGATATAGAGGAAGAAGGGATTTGGCATCCTGTGTGCTAAACCAGACTTCCCAACTCCCTTTCCCTGCATCAAAGCCAGGGAAATTTCTGAAGCTTGGGTGAGCCCTAATTCATTGGGAAAGCAGCATCTCCCCACTGTTTCCCTTTTAGCAATCAAGGGGTGCCTTTTAAGTGAAAGTGAATAATTAAAAGAGAGCAGGAGCACCACATTTGCATAAAATCTCCTACATTCCTCAGGCAGCTTATTTCTTGCTACCATTGGGCATCTTTAGTCAGACATTTTTTTGCTTGGATTTACAGTCATAGTTCCTAGTTAAAACAAAAAGGAAATTTGGAATTTAGATTGTCCCATACCCTCATTGCACAAGAGAGCAGCTAAAATGAAAACAGTCTTGTTTAAAGCATTCAGCAAGTCAGGGGCAGAGATCCAGAACCCAAGACTCTTTGTTATAGCCCTTTCCCTTTCCACCTATAATGACTCCACTGTCCCCTTGGTGGTCTCTTGCAATTTAACTTTACCACCAGTATCTTTCTCCTTTTTTTCCTGTAGTCTGAGTAACCAGTTTTTAGTCTGCATAACTATCTTACTGTTTTATAATTATATTAGTTTAGAAAGTTCTGTATCTAACTATGTTCTACCTAGATAGAATATTGGATTCAAATGTAATTGTGGTCTCTTTCATTAATTAGTTAAGTTTATTTTAGTACTTGAGGGTAGGACAATGATTCTGTAGCCAATAAACCTGGGAGTGTATCTGAAGGGACAAGTCTTCAGGAGGTGTGTTCTGGGTCCTGAAGTGTTGTCTCTTCTCCTTCAAGCATAGAAATGGCAATGAGGTAAGCCTGTGCTCCAAACTATTTAACACAGCTCTGGTTTCAAAAGCATGTTATTTGCTGATTAAGCTTGGGAGTAAGGTGTGTGTTTGGTGAATTGACTATAGTGCTGATTATTAAATGATACTCATAGTTTCTTCTGAAAACATAATGTTTGTGGTTTTGCAGAGTGACCTTGAATATACTCAGTTCATGAGTAGAGGAACAGTGTATTAAGCCAAAAGGATGGTTCTGAAAAGTAGCAAGTCAACAATATCTAAAGTACATCTGGGCCAGAACCCAGGACTGGATGAATATAGTGAATATGCTACAGATGAAGTAGGTAGATATGTTCCCTACCTGTCCATAAGAGAAAAGAAATAGTGTCATAGATTATAGTAGTCAGCCTCATTATATATTTATATATAAATATGTATATAAATATGTATATGTATATAAATATACATCAAGTCTTCTGTGGGCTTTATTGGTATTGGCTGGGCTACTGGTGTACTCTACTGGGGTTTGGTATGCTGATCTAAACTGGGATTATTTGAATTTAATATAATGATGGGGTCTTTGCTAGGCTGGCATAGGCTTCCCTGTGTTCTATTCGAGGAATTTTGGAGTGTGTGGGCTAGTCTGGGCTGCAATGGGGTAAGCAGGGCTGACTGAAGCAGGAAAAGAGAAGCCTAGTAATGAAATAACTTCACTTCTCTGGGTATCATTTTCCAACTTGGTAAATACGTGATGAGATTTATCCATCCATACTAAAAATGTTCAGTGAGTACCATGTGAATAACAGGGTCCTTTTCAATGTACTAAGAATACAGAGATAAGAAAACAGAGACACTGCCATACAGGAGCTTTTGGGTAAGGTGGGGGAGGCACACAAGTAAACAGACAATTACAGTAAAGAAAAATAAATGCAAAGACCATTTATCAGGTGATATCAGTCATTTTCAACTCAGTCATTTAACCCAACTAAAGTTCATTTCTCATTCATGCAAAGTCTGTTGTGGATCCAGGCAACTTTCCAGGGCAGTTGTCCTTCATGTGTTGGCTCATCACCAGACTGTTTCAATCTTATGGTAACTCTAGAATAACATGTTTCCATGGTCTCACACTGGACATTAATTGTTCCAGCCAGAGAGTGACACATATAACTTCCCCCCACAACCAAAATCAGTCACGTGGCCTCTCCCTACATTAAGTGGGCAGGGGAGCGGGAAGGCAATCGTTCCATGTTTATGGAAGTATTAGAGTTGGATATTAGAACATTGGTAACCTACCACAGGTATGGGTAATCCCAATGTGAAAGTCTGGCACATAATAATGTCAGTGATCTCTCAGGGCTCTTAAACTTTGGGGATTCTGTTGTTCTTTTTTTTAAAAAAAATTAATGTTTATTTATTTTTGACAGAGAGACAGAGCATGAGTGGGAGAGGGGTGGAGAGAGAGGGACACACAGAATCTGAAACAGGTTCCAGGCTCCAAGGTATCAGCACAGAGCCCGACACGGGGCTCGAACTCACGGACTGTGAGATCATGACCTGAGCCGAAGTTGGACGCTCAACCAACTGGGCCACTCAGGCGCCCCGGGGATTCTGTTGTCATTTTTAGTGATATCTAAAGGGATAAACTTTTACCTGTACCTAACATGTTCTCTGAAGAAATATTACAGGCTTTCTTATCACTGTCAAGTATACTTTCTCAGAAGTAGCAAGTTAGCTGTCATTTGGAGTACTGTGTTGGACTCTCTCTGAGATGAGGGAACTGACATTCATGACACTCTGCTTTCCCACTTTCTCTGGCCTAGATGCAGTAACTGAAGTGAAGACTGACATCTATGTAACCAGTTTTGGCCCTGTGTCGGACACTGACATGGTAAGTATAGTTCCTGCAAAGGTAAAAGTGAAAGATGATACAAAAGATCAAAGAAAAGAAATTAGGGTTTGTAGCTATGTTCTAAGGAGTAGTCTTGTCTTATGTATTCCCTATGCTCACTATCCTGCATTTGGTCAAATTCATCTTTTCCCCTGCTCTCCCCACCTATTCACATATAAAGCATATCCCCTCATCATGAATACCCTTCCGTTCTTTCCATAACACATCTATCAAAATTCAGCTTGTCTCACTAACCTCAATTAAATTTTCCTTGATGTCTCCCTTCACATTTTCTAGCACTACACACATATTAGTAGAGATAGGTCATGTGAGGAGAGCACTGCGGTGGGGACTCTCAGTCAAGCAGTCTGTAGTATCATCCAAGAAGTCTGCTCCTTGCAAACAGGCCCTATTCACTGGGGACATGGACTGAACATGGTGATGCAAAATGTTTGGAGGAAGAGTCAAAACCACTTCTGAAAACTGATCCTTCTACAGATGTGAGCAGGGGAGAGCTTTAGAGCAGATTCAAGGAATAAGTCAGGGCATAGCAGAGCTAGTAAAGGGAGATTCATGAGCTCTCTTCAAGGACTTCTTCCATTATCCCTTGCTGCCAAAGCAAAGAATGTAGTTAGTGGAGAGTTGAGGCAGGAGACCCCATCAGGACCATCTGATCAATATCTACTAAGTGTCAGATATTTGATTGAATAATTATCATGTAAGGAAATAAATAAGCTATTATCTGCCCAGTATGCCTGGCAGTTATTAGATGCTCAATGAATTTTTGTTGAATGAGTGACTTTGTATGGCAAATAAAAATCTTAAAGTCAGAAAAAAATGTCCTAACAATATGAAATGCCCCAAAAATATAAAATGTCCAAAAATATGAAATGTCAATGTTTGCTACTTGGATTCTTTTCTATGTATCTTCCGTGGGACTACTACTTAAGCAGGAGACAATCTTCTTTAGGCCTGTTGGGTAGATACAAACAGTTGTACAAGGACATGATAGAGTTTGTCTTGATAGAATGATTGAGTAGATTTGAGTAGAGAAATAAAAATATACAGGTGTTGTTTTAGAATGATTTAGCAGTCTGTATAGCATTCTAGCAGTCTGTATAGGATGAACTATAAAGGGAAAAGACTGGAGGCTGAGGGTTGGTTTAGGTATATTGATTTTACCTGGCACTTCCTTCAATTAGGCAAGGTCTACAAGTCAGTTGGAGAAGCGGGCTATTTTCAGCAGAGGGAGTTATGAGTTGCTTGTGAGGCAAGGCCTGAACTTTATCTTTCAAGTGTGGAAAAAAGAGGATACAGAGAAATGGCAGGCTCCTTTTGTACTCCTTAAGGGCAAGTACCAAGTCTTCATGGCTTCCCTGGCACTTAATAGAGTACTTGACACATAGGGAGAGTTCAGTAAGGGGCATGTTTGATGTATGAGGAGTGGAGGAGATGGGTCTCTCAAAGGGGCATCAGGAAAGCCTGTATGTCTAGATTGTTCCATCACAACCTATTGACTACTAATGCCCACAGCTTCAGATCCAAGCATGCATTAAAACTATTGTCAGTTGGTCATTCAACAAGTACTCCTTAGAAGGCCAACTCTGCATTAAGGAGCTCTAGGGACCCCTATATTCAGAGAACTTATAGGCCATTGGAGGTAACTAGATTCACCAGGGTATGAGCTCTCTCTTTGTATTTCTGGGAACGAGTGATGGATTAGGATTTTTACAAGAAAGTGACTGAAACTACTCTTTGAACACATACACACTCTCACTCATGTGCCAGTATCCACAAATTCATTCAGACAAATGTACATGCACACAAGAAAATACATACAGAATAAAAATAGTCCAATCCTATCCCAGGTACTTCATGAACACATGTGTGTAAACAGATATCTAAATCCAGGGATACTACAGAAACACACATATGCAACAGCTACCCAAACCAGATACTCTACCTGCTCCTACTGCACCCAAGCAGGCACACATGGGTATGCAGAGGCTGGAGACATTTTAAGCAATCCAGATTTTCTATCTCTTGAAGTTTATTATTCCACTTGCTTGTTTGTTTTTCTCCCTCATGATTAAACAGAAGCAACAGAACAGCTTTCTTGATAGGGAAGGCAGCAGAATTAGATCAAATACATTTCAGGTTATTTTTAGCTACACTTCCATCTTGTTACAAGGCAGAATGGATATGATCTGGCTGGGAAATACATTTATGGTGTTTTTAACAATTTCTTATTCCTGTACTAATTAGTATACTGTGGCAATTGACCCTGGGTCAGGGATGACTTTGGATGAAGCATCACAGACTTGTCTGGCTTTAGTAACTAGCTGAAGCAATAACCCAGGCTCCCCTGAGACCACAGACTGCTTGGGTAAGTAGATGAAAATTAGAGCTGGCTGGATTCTTGACTCACTTCCAGCCAAATGGAATTTTGGTCCAGAATACTTTCCTAAAGAAATAGAAACACATTTTTTTGTTCATAAAGAGGAAAAATTATGGTGCCACTTTGAGTATTGAAACAGCATCACCCATAACCCTTTGCAGCTATTGTTCTCCTTGCTCAAACACTGTTCCCCACAGACATAGATTCTGAGTTTTACAAAAAGCTCCATGAAAGGCCATATCTCTTTTGTTAATCTCAGTACCACCAATACCTAATCGATGTTTGACACTTGGTAGACTCTCAACAATTTGTTAAATGCAAGAATAAATGAGATGAAACAAATTAAATTTGAGGGGGAAATTATGACTGTTTTCCTCCACTTGACTGAGTTTGTCAAGGTAGAGAACATATCAGGTACATTTCTGTATCTCTAGCATCTAGCATAGGACCTGACACAGGTCTTTTGTAAGTGTTTATTGAGATGATATGAAACATTAGTAGCAAGCCCTGCAAACAAAGAGTAAAAGTAGCTTTCTTCGGGAGACACTATCCAGTAGCAAGACTAGTGAGTCAATAATTGATGACTCTAAGCTTTGGGCTGCTAATTTTGGTGGCTTCTCCATGTATGAACTTAAGGAGCTATGACAATAGGGAATCAGGCAGAAATGAAAACAAACAGCAGTAGATGTTTCTAAGGGAAAACTCAGAGAAAGAAAACTTATTAAAGAGTACAGGATGTAAATTGAAAACTGATTACAGTGGGAATTTTACAGGCATCACAAATGAAAGGCTTTGTTAACATTTGTAACAAATAAAGGTTGATGGTTAAAAAAATACATGCTGCTTCTCAGCAGTAATACCAATCCTATACCCGTGGTCTCCCGGGAGAGAAAGAGAAAAAAGGATACAATCCCAACTTGAATTAACTAAGGCAATGTGCCCTTTCATGACTTTCTACTTTAGAAGAGTTTATACCATTTTCTCAATTGGTGTATGGGAAGATGGTGTAGTGGCAATGAGGGGAAGGCTGCAAAAGATTTAGTGAAAATACAGTTTAATTGCCACTTCTCTTTAAAATTGGGTATGTCCATTTCTTACCAGCGAGCAATGGCTCTTGGAAAGTATAAATTTTCCCTGGTCTCCCAAGATCCTTTGAATTAGAATGCAAAAAGAGTTGGATACTGGCTTAAAAATGGAATGCTATGCATATGGCCAGTGATTGGAAAAGAAAGTAGAAAGGTCACTATTGATATTTTCTAAGAGAGTAGATCTTAGGTGTTCTCAGCATACACACACACACACACACACAGACACACACACGTGACTATGTGAAGTGATGTGATAATTTGTGGTAATAACTTCACAATGTATACATTTATTAAACTATCACATTACACACTTTACAATCACATTGTACAACCTGAAGATGTACAATTTTTAGTTGACACTCATACCTCAATAAAGCTTGAAAAAAAAAAAAAAAAGAACTATACCAGCTGAGAAAAACTCTGGAATCTCTCCTGGTCCAAATCACTTTCTGACAAAATTTCCATTCTAACTCCCATCCTAAGGCTCCAGGTTTTGACATGTCATAGGTTCAGGGTCTTGAATTATGTATTTAATAAATATCTATCTGAATGTGCTGATAAAGATAGTGAGAAAATAAGGAGGACAAAGAGTAATAATGTTAGTAGAGTCAGAATGAGAACAACTAGGAAACAAAATGCCAGTTTTAAGTATTGTCAACTTCACTCTCTTCCCAGGAATACTTTCATTGTTTAGATACTTGCTAGGTAACAACTGCCAGCTGTCATTTGTCAACAGAGAAACTTCCTAGGGTATACAGTGGACAACAAGGTAATGATGCAAGTAGTAATATAGTAAAAGAACTAATCATATAGCCTATTGAAAAAAATTAGAGGCTTGGGAAATAAGAATTCATAAAAGATATTATAATCATAATTCTTGATAACATAAGGCATATATTTTGGTCTGACAGCTGCTTTTGAAAATCATGCAAAGTTACCGGAGTATCCAAAGACCACACAGTAAAAAAAAAGGTTGTATTGATTAAAAAGAAAGTAGAGCAGGGACCTCTTTTCTGGTGGCAGTGGGCTTGAAATTACCTGTTTCCCCCATAGCACTGGAAAAAGTGGCTATGTTCACTTCAAGCCCTCACTTACTGGCGGTCTGAGGCACAGAATTAAGGGGAGACTCTGTTTTGAAAGCCTCTTGGGCTGTCCGTTTCCTCCTCTTCCATTGGATAACATATTCCCAGATGCAATATAGAAAGGAGTCCAAGTCTGTGGGGTTTTGCTTAGGAGTCCAAACCAATAATCTCCTGGGCTACTTTTATGTAAAATAGGCTAATCAGACTATCTCAAGACCTAAATGCAACTGAAAAGGGCAGGTGGATTATCATTCTTCAAAATTCAGAATGATAATAAGGCAAAGAGCAAAGGGAAGACCAGATGGCCAAAATAAGGGAGGAGTGGCCTGTGAGGCAGTGACAATACCTTCACTGTAATGGTGTTGTCATCTACCTTGGGCTCAGACCCTGCTAAAGTTAAATCACCCTTGCAGGCCCTTTGTGGGAACCTGC